GAAAGAAAACTTCAGACCATATCTCTAATGAACATAGATGCAAAAATTCTCAATAAAATTCTGGCAAATCAAGTACAAAAATATATCAAAAAGATAGCGTACCACGATTAAGTGGGGTTTATCCCAGGGATGGTTCAACATATAGAAATAAATAAATATAATTCATCATCTCAATAGATAAGAAACATGTGATCATCTCAATAGATGCAGAAAAAGCACTTGACAAAAATACAGCACTCTTTCATGTTCAAAACACTAGAAAAACTAGGGATAACAGGAACATATCTCAACATCATAAAGGCTATCTATGCTAAGCCCCAGGCCAACATCATTCTATATGGAGAAAACCTGAAAGCATTCCCTCTAAAAATTGGAACAAGACAGGGATGCCCTCTTTCACCTCTTCTGTTTAACATAATTCTGGAAATACTGGCCAGAGAAATTAAACGAAAGAAATTAAAGGGATACGTATAGGAAAAGAAGAACTCAAATTAGCACTATTTGCTGACAATATGATTCTATACCTAGAAGGCCCAAAAAATTCCACCAGAAAACTTCTAGAACTAGTAAATGAATTCAGTAAAGTAGCAGGATATAAAATCAACACCCATAAATCAAAGGCATTTCTGTATATCAGTGACAAATCCTCTGAAAGGGAAATAAGGAAAACTACCCTATTTACAATAGCCTCAAAAAACAAAATAAAATACTTGGGAATCAACTTAATGAAAGAGGTGAAAGACCTCTACAATGAAAACTACAGATTGCTAAAGAAAGAAATTAAAGAAGACCTTAGAAGATGGAAAGATCTACCTTGCACTTAGGCAGAATTAATATTGTCAAAATGACCATACTTCCAAAAGCACTATATAGATCAAATGCAATTCCAATCTTAAGAGCTTCTTAAAGATTCCAAAGTAGACTAATAAGTCTCATCTTTGACCTTCAAGTGAACAATCTCAAGACATAGGTCATGTGTTCTTCCATTTTATGGATGAAGAAGACAAGGTGTGGAAAGAAGTGACCATAGGAGATCACTTAGCCAGCTTTTCTCTTAGCCAAAGCTCTTCATCATGTTCTCCATTAGTACAATCAAGGCAAAGCAAAATGAACAAAAAACCAAGTAATTGTTAAAAGTAGATGACGACTCTCAGGGAAGTATCTTCTGGAAGCAGAGTAAATACTTTCTGGGAAGCAGCTGTTAACAGAGCTGAGTAATAATCTTCTACCAGAATCCTCTTCCCAGAAAATCAAGGGCAATCATGTGTGTGTGTGTGTGTATATGTTTGTGTGTCTGTGACTCTCTCTCTCTCTTTCCTCTCTCCCCTCTTTCCCATCTCTCCTCCGCATCCCACCACCCTCCACTCATATACGCTAGGCAAGTCTTCTGCCACTGAGCTATATTCCCAGCCCTATCTGTCTGTCTGTCTGTCTGTCTATCTATCTATCTATCTGTCTGTCTGTCTGTCTGTCTGTCTATTTATTTAGTGAGACAGTGTCTTACTCAGTGGCTCAGGCTGGCCCTGAACTTGTAATCCTCCTGCCTCAGCTTCCCAAGTAGCTGGGATTATAGGTGTGTGCCTGGCTCTGTTGTTTCTTAAGTGTTGCTAACAGAAAGGGGACTCTGGCCAAAAATTTAGGGGCTCCACCTTGACTCTTTAGACTTAAAAGAGAAAAGAAGATGGTGTTTTCCTCCCTCTCCTTATTTCCATCTTTCCTTTTCAATTCACCTTTACTTATTTAATTTTAATTAGTTTTAATCTTTGAGTGGTATAGCATTACATATATTCTGTGACCTTTACAGGAAGGTTTCTTCTAATTTTGGCACAAGTGATGCCTGTGGTCATTTCCATGGGCACCAATTACTTTTCCCCGGATTACTCTGGTTTTGGTCAGTTTCCCTCCAGGAGTCACCGTGTTGTTCTTTGCTTTGTACACATAACTTCATCCCTTGTCCAAGTAGAATTTGTTTCATCTTGGGCATAAACATCTTCAATTTTAGGAACAGCTATCTTCTCACTTTGGTTCCAAAAACTCTGCTCATGGCCAATAAAAGTGGCCTTGCATGGAGGCCCTCCAGATGCATTTGCCTTGTACATGCCCTCTTCCTAGCAGATCTCACAGGCTCTAAGAGAAGTGAGATTACTTCTTTGATCCCTTTCTCGGTCGCTTCCTGCTCATGCTCTGCAAATTCCTGGGTTCATGGACACCAACCTCGGATGAGAGGCTACTGACACTGATCCCCTTATTGCATGCTCCCTACCAGATACTGCATCTCGGGAGGATTTCAGGGGATGGTTCTGTATGAACAAAGAAGCAGTCCACTCTGGAAAGAAGGGACCTAGATTAAATCTGTCAGGCCCACAAAGCTAGAGATGGAAAGATGTGGAAGATGATTACTTTCTGCCTTCATTTAGCTCTGAGGCTTTCTGGTTTTTTCCTCATACCACCTAGAATTTGCATTTCTGCATATCTGTTGTCTTTCTTTTCAAAATCCAAGCCCATCTACTTTGGGCTTTATGAGCTTGTAAGGAAAAAACATTTTTTTTTTTCCCACAGCATAGAACTTACTTTCTTATCTCTTCCTGTTTTCTTCATTATTTTTCCTCTTCAAATGATAGTTCTTTACTCAACCAAACACAAACATGGGAAGGCCAGATGTGGCTCTGGACCAGATAGGATACTGCAGTGTGCAGGACTCTCCTCTGAACCTGAAAGCTATAGGCTTTCCTGCTGACTTACAGAAGCAAAGACCAGCTTCCTACCCTGCTGACGCTGGCAGTTGTTTCCCTTTATGAAGAATCTGACCTTTAGGTTGGGTGTAGTGGCATACCTATAGTCCCAGTGACTTTGGAGGCTGAGGAAGGAGGATTGCAAGTTGGAGGTCTGTCGTACCAACTAGCGAGACCTGTCTCAAAATAAAATAAAATAAAAATCAGGGTGAGAGTGTGGTTCAATGGTACAGCACTTGTCTAGCATACATGAGACCCTGGGTTCTATCCCCAACACCATGAAAAGAAAGAATCTGACTTTTATGTTTTTCTTGTTATGTACAAACATAGTCCCAAGTTTCAGGATGGAGAGGTTTTAATAGTGTTGACAGAAATCATTAGGCTGGCAAGGAGCAAGTGGAGAGCCTTTTGTTGTTGTTGTTGTTGTTGTTGTTAGTGAAAGATGAAAGAGATTGTTTATAACTCCATCTTTGAGAATAAACTAGTAACATTTAAAGTTTCTGGGATGACATCATTACTCTAAGTATATGTATGAAGACATGAATAGTGTGACTGTATGTTGTGTCCAGAAAAGTTGTGCTATATATGTGTAATAGGAATTGAAATGCATTTTGCTGTTATAACAAATTAGAATACTTTTTAAAAAGATGTACAAATAATAAATATACAAATTGTCAACATTAAAAAAAAATCTGGGATGAAGGGAATTCACACAAGAGTCTCAAGTTATTTTCATATAGAAAGTTAACAGTGATTTTTGCAAGAAATAATTACATCTTAATTTCTTTGATTTTTGAAAAGTTGATGAGTGTGAAAGGGGCTTACCCATGATCTGATTTTATTTTTCATTATGTAAGTGCAGCTGGCTTGATATTTCAGGAGCCTCCCTGGGATGGAGGGACCCTGAATCTCATTTAAGAGGGTAGCCAGACCAGGGCTGGGGTTGTAGCTCAGTGGCAGAGCATTTACCTAGCATGTGTGAGGCACTGGGTTCGATTCTCAATACCATCTATAAGTAATAAATAAAATAAAGGTCTATAAACAACTGAAAAAATATTTAAAAAAAGAAGAAGAAGCCAGCTAGACCAAGCAGGGATGCTCTCTAGTGAGAATTGGGTGATGAAGCCCAGCAGAGAATCCAAGAGGTTACCAGGTTGGGTGGAGTTGCCAAGAAAGAAGTGGGAGGCTTGGAGGGCGAAGAGCGCATGTGTTCCTCCATGGTGCAGGGTTACGAGACAACTGAGAAAGGAGAGAGGTCTAGGACAAATGGCAAAGATCCTGTGATCCCCAGAGCTTGCCAAACTAGAAATCATCTATCTTTGGGTGAATTCACTTTGGAAGAGCTTATAAGACACAGATCTGTTCTCATTGGGGCAAGGGAGTGAAGCAAGACAGGTAGTGTTACTTTCATTTTACAGAAGGCAGTTGTGAAGCCTAGGGAAGTGATGCTTTTGTCCCAAGGACACAACTCATAAATGGCAACGCCAAAATTTGAACATAGGTTCCTTCTTTCTGAAGCAGGTGGCATTTCACTGAATATAATGCTCAGTACTAGCAGGATGATGGCCCAGGCAAATGTCAGGGTAGGAACTGCCCCTGGAGTTTTCCTTGTGTGGACCTCACACCTGTGGGTATTGCCTTGTTCTAATTGTCCCCAAATTCTCTTCCATCTTAAAGCTTTACACCTTATAGCTGGGTGTTAGTTTGGTACTACTGGTGAACCAGAAACCTAATATAATAGGTGTGACTTTGGGCAAAAATATATGATCCCATCTTCTGATCTCCTAGTGTTGACCACTTAAAAGAATTCTCAGAGACTTCTAGTCAACCAGCTGTTCTGACCCACTTGGGTTTGACTGAGCTGCAAGGGGCAACGGTGTTTGTGCCTTGAGGGGAAATGAGCTCAATTATGTAGGCAGGTCCCAGTGGGGCTCTGCAATGCCATTATTAATCTCATGGAGCATGAGAAATATATAACCTCAGATTTCTCTGCCCCATATTTTTCTGTGTTGATATTCAGAACACAGGATCACACAGGGCGATGGATGCCTGTGCTGCTGAATTAAAAAGCCGGTTTCCCTTTGGCCAGATTCCTCTTTGTCTCTTCCTCTTCCTCCACCCTGGCCCTAGATTCTCCAGCTTAAGTCCACAGTTTGGCATGGCCTTGGCTCTTGGAAGAGCTGGAGTGTGCTGTAACTTTATTTTCTTTACTACTACTACTAGTACTTTTTTTTTCTTTTTTTTTTCTTTTTCTTTTTTTTGGAACAGAGCAGCACTTTCCAGAGGTGATGCTGGGGGAAGAATTTCTTAGCCTAAGTCTGGACCAGGTGTGCAGCTTGATATCCAGTGACAAGCTGACCGTTTCTTCAGAAGAGAAGGTATGGAGTGGGCTTTGGGTGAAACAGGAACCTCACTTTTGAGGTGGTCATGGGATGAACTCGTGGTTTAGTAAGATCTTTTATTCAGAGGCAGGAAAAAAAAAACTTACTATTTTTTTCATCCTCCTAAAACAGAGGTGGTGGTGGTTTTTGACTAATGATCATTATATTCTGTACCTTTTAAAGAAGAAATGGCAGGGGCTGGGATTGTGGCTCAGCAGTAGAGCGCTTGCCTAGCACATGTGAGGCCCTGGGTTTGATCCTCAGCATCACATAAAAATATATAAATCAAATAAAGGTATTTTGTCCAACTACAACTGAAAAAAAATTATTAAAAAAAAACCCTTAAGAAAAAAAGAAGAAATGGCAGAGGTTATGGTGGTGATGGCAAAGCTGCTTCTATTTACTGTGCACCGTAGTTTGTCAAACTCTGTGTGAAGTCTTTATGATCTTCAGTCCATTCAGCTTTAACCATATCCTCGAGAAGCAGGCCTTGCTGTCATACCCTTGTTAAAAAGAGGAAAACTAGTTCTGATTCCTCTTTGTCCAGGAAGAACTTCTTTGCTCCAGGGGACATAGTCTGCTACAGTGAAAATAGCAGAAGCTTCCTTGTTGGCCAACAACTTCAGTGTTTACAAATTAGCTGTGTGACCTTGAGTGAGGAACTTTGCCTCTCCTCTGTTCCCTTACTGGTAAAGTGAGGATAATGGTATTAGAATAGATTCTTCAGAGCCTTTGAGGTGATTAAATGGGATAATATTGTACACAAAATGCCTGGTACTGTACCTAGTTGGTGCTCGGTCAGTATCAGATGAGTTTATTCTTGACCTTGCACCTGGACTGAATTTCTTCCTCTAGTATAACAGGATAACACTCACCGCGTCCTTCTGTTCACTGTAGTTAGTTCTAAGCTAATCTTACTTCCTATACCCAACTATTAGGTCCCTAATCTTATTTCTTCATCCTCAGTAAATATTTCTTGAATCATCTTAGTCCACTGTTAGTATCCCAACTTGAGGTCCTTTTCTGAGATAATATTCAAGGAAAACACTTGAAAAAGATTTTATATCACACCAAACTGCCCAATGGCATGGGTCTAGAGAATGGGGACATATTCACAAGTCCCTACCTTTCATGCTGGGAAGGTTTGATTGAGAAGAAGAGCAGTTGTTTATTGGTCCCCGAGTCCTCCAGTGGATCCCCAAAAATGACTAGCACAACTATGGGCCCTGATTCCTCCCTCCAGTGGATCCCCAGAAAGTGACTAGCACAGCAAGCTCCACACTCCCATGGGGAGGAGGCCTCTGCTTCTAGTATCTCTGATACGAAACAGTGCCTCCAGGGAAAACAGTGCTCTGGCCAGGTCATACATAGTTCCTTTCCTGCTTTAACCTCAGAAACTGAGTGGACGCCTTTGCTTCTTTTCAAGTGTATTTACTGTCATCTGTGGGTTTTGCTTCCAAATTGGCACATTTGGAAGGAATGAACCAGTCAGTTAATTGGCTGTGCGAATGATGAGGCAGTTGGTGAATTTGGGGCCTGTTTGAGCATATTCTCAACAGTAAACTGAGAAATAGAAGAAGTCATATAAACAAAAGAGTGTTCAGAAGTGTTTGGGTTGGCTGTCACCCTGCTACCTTGAATTCATGCTGGCCTATCCTGCTCTGAGATCATAAGTAAGTTTTCTTCAAGAAAGGGTCTATAGGGATAGAGTTGTGGCTCAGTGATAGAGCGCTTGCCAACCATGTGCAAGGCACTTGTTCAATCCTCAGCACCACATAAAAAACGAAAAAAACAAAACAAACCAAAAAAACAAAACAAAAAACAAAGTTATAAAAAATTTTTTAAAAGCTTAAACCCATTTTTTTTTTTTTTTTAAATCTGTGCTTGCTGTGGCAGGATTTCGGTTGGGATCAGGTGGATTGTTAGGGAGAGGCAATCTGGTGACCTGTAGACCATTGGAGTTTTGGACTGAGGCAGACCTGGTTCCGATCTCTGCTTATTGGCTGCATGACCTTGAGAAGTCACTGGTTTCTTTGAGCCTCGGTTTCCTGAAATATAAAACAGGCAGTCTAGTAGTACCTCGTTTATTGAGTTGTTATGAGGATTAGAGATGATGGATGTAAAATACCAGATAGTGTTTGGCAGGTGCTGAATAAATGGAAGTTGTCATAATTGCCATAATTCTCCATTTTGAGACACCGTTGATAATAATAATGATATCAGTTTTGTCATTGATAATGTTAAAATATGCCTTTGAGTTAGCTGAATGTTTTTGGAAATATGACTTTAAATATACACTCTTAAAAATTGTTTCTAGTGGCTCTCATTAATTAACATGCTTATATATGAGTTGTTTTTTTCTGTATAAGCAGAGTGTTTTTCACATTAATGAAATTCTGCTGAAATGTTTGGTTGTAAGAAATTATGTATAAATTTAGGATTATGTGATACTTTTCATAAAGTGTATTATTTGTGCTCTTGATCCCTTTAGTACCTTTACACTGGCAGTATAATTTTACTCTTATCAAAGAGTAGTAGGTTTTTGTCTGTATTTCTCATTGGCTAAATCCATAGTTTTATTTTCCCTTGACAGATCAAGTATTGCTGGAAGCTAAAAAACTAAAGACTTCTGACAATTAGATGTTTGTCATCTGAATACTCATCCTTCAGGCTTTGAAGATTCTGTGTCTGTTCCAGATTTTGTGATTTCTACTCCCTTTAATCATATTGCATGTGATAAGTGATCTCTTGTACGTTCGATAGCTTTTCCTTTCCATATTGTTTCATAGTGGGATTTGGGTATGTGTTTGAAGTAATGTTAGGATGTTAATTTAAGTGAAAATTCAACTCTAGATAGTGTTAATTTTTGTAAGAAAATCAACTGAGTTCATAATCAAATAACCCGTGTTCATCTAAATCCTTACTTGAATAGTAATATGAGCTATATCATGACTTACTTCCCTGCCTACAGCCCACATATGTCTTTCAACATATATTATAAATTGCAGACATGAAAGTGGGAAAAAGCTGTGCATCTTAAACTAGAAGATGTATGGTGTTTTATTGTTAATGATAAGTGAAAGTAGCAGTGGCCGACTGGATAGGTTCTATAGTCAAAGTGGCTGGATTTGAATCTCATCTTCCTTACTTGAATAAGTACCCACCAGAATGTATGCACCACATGGTACAAAACTTTTTCTGTCTAATTTTCACTGTTACAGTAGTATGAAGTTTCTGCTTGACACAGAAAATATTTGTTGAATGAGTAAATAAAACAATTTCTTTAAAGCTCAATTTTTTCATCTGTAAAAGGTAGTGATTGTGTAATTATCTATCTGTAGAGATGTTCTAAGAATGAAATGAGATAACATTTGAGAAATGCCTAGAACACAGGAAGTGTTTGCTACTGTAAGATACTATTATTGCTGTTATTATTATTGTTACCACTGCTAAACTATTATTACTGTTACTACTGTTAGTAATAAATATTGACCTGGGCTTTTGTCAGGGGGAAGTTTTTTCCAGTGCCCATGTTGGTTGGGGCTATTGGTGTAACCTGGGGTTCAGTGCCCAGAGGGGCTGGGAGTGGTAGTGACCTCATGCTCCCCAGCTTCCCTAGCATCTCCAGTCCCGTCTGGGCCTCTCCCACAGCTCAGAGATTATGCTTCTTCCAACGTTGCTCACTTTTTCCTGGACTCTCATTCTCCACTGAACTCATTCTCCTTGAAGCTGAGGATCCCATGGTTATCTTTGTGTCATGCACAATGCTGACACATGCCCTGGGAGGTGCCATGGAGGTGTCAGCAGATGTTGTCTGAGGGAGTGATGAAGCAGACAGGCTGGACTCTGGCCTGAGCTAGCTGAGGATACAGTAATCATTTTAATATTTTTCCAGAGAATAGGACAGATAGGTGAACTAGAGGGCAGGGGAGGTCTTTGGCCTTTGTCATTTCTCTTGTTTTTCCTTCTTATGTTTTCTGTTTAAAAATCCCTGTTTCTTGAGAGAGGACAGGTGGATCTGGTAGGTCTTATGGAATCTTACTATTTCTTTGGATAGGACCCTCCCATCCCCACCCTACCTCGCCCCAACAAGTTAAAGCAAACCCCTCCCTGGCATCTGAGTTCTTTGCTTGGGTGGTGCAGTAGGGTCAGAGCTAAGCTTGTGAGCAGACAGCCTGCTGAGCATATTCTCCTTTGAGAGGTTTTGGCCTTGGGCATCCTTAATGTCTTAGGGAAAAGGTGAGCAACCTTCCAGCCTAACATACTCTAAGGAAAAAAGAAATGGATATGACTCCTGAGTCTTAGTGTGTTCTGCCATTGAATTGCTTCAGGACCTCACCAGTTATTGGATTTCTCTGAATCTTTACTTTCTTAGTTAGTGAATGTTTTTATACCTTAGGAATCCCATGTTTCTTAGGAAACACTATCAAAGCTTTTCAGAGATAGCTCTGAGTGAGTATTGGTGGGAAATGGCCTGCATTTTAGGTATCGGTCAGAAAGAAATTAGTTGAGGCTCTTTAAAAAATTAGACTATGTGTTTTAATGAGAACTACAGGTTAGTGCTGCACTGCATGTCAGGAGCCAGATTGTAGCATTTTATGTTCTGGTAGGGACTATGTCTTTGTCTTCCAGGATCATTAGTGCTGTATGCCCTTCTGTCTGAATTTCTAGCTTTGGCTGAGGGATGCAGGCTGCTGGCTGTGGGATGCAGGTGAAAGCCTTGGCCAGTCGGCTGGGCTTTAGTGATTGCTGTGGGATGTGTTATCTGGTGACCAAGTAGGTACCTTTCACTGTCTAGGCTGAGCTGTGGGCAGCCCTGCCATCTTCTGAGGTCAGTTGCCAGCTTCTTAGCCTGCAGGTGGTGATTTGGCCTGGGATCCTGACTCTGTGTTCCTCTTTTGACTTTTCTTTGGAGAGAGCAACTCCATAATCAACTATGTGCAGAATACCACAGAACTATGAGCAAAAATTTACCACTATGACCCACTGTTCTCCAG